GCGGGGGCTTAGGGCCGCCTCGCGGTTTTGGTGCCTTTGTGGCGCGGCCTCCCGGAGAGGTGCTGTGGTGGTGCGGTCCGGTAGGTCTGAATTTGTTCGGGGGAATGGCAGACGAACGGTGACGTCCGAGTGTTTTAAGTTTTAATTCATAGCTAAGTATGCCAGGCGTTTTGAGGAAAAAGTAATCACCTGGAAAATTAAGAGAGAAATCTCCGTAAACTGGCTATAGATTTACTCGGGATCTTTTAACAGATGTTTTTACGTTATATATTGTAGGCCGTACATCAGTAAAATGAAGCTTTCTCAGGGTTTTGGTTCGTAAGGTACCCCATTTCATAAGGCTTCCCAGGGACGTAGCTGGAGAGCAGGCGTGGCTTTTTGTCTTCCTGTGTTGTATGAACTGTATAACTTTCAGTTTCCTTATACAGGTACTCAGAAATCTTATTGCTGAAGAAGTGAAGTAGCACCTACTTCTCTGTCTGTGGGGATTCTCTGTGAGATTGAACTGTGATTTCAAAGCTTGGTGCCTTGCAAGGAGGAAGACTTGGTGGTTGTTCTCCCTGCCAAGTCTCCTAGCTCTGCGTTTTAAGAGAGTTGTCTTTCACTGCTGCTTTTCAGAGCTGAAAATCCATTCCACGTTTTCATGCTTCAGAGACCTGTTTGGCTGTGATTTTTGAGAGAATTTCTGTAGTCAAGATCTTTATATGAGTAAAGATACCTGGTCTACTTTTTGCACAGATCTACTTTCTGGTCTGTTGAGTAGCTATTGGAGATGAAGGTGCTAGCTGCAGGGCAGCTAACCCCTCAAAGGCAGGGGTTGTGGGTAAGAGTATGGAAAAAGTATACAAAAAGCTGCTGCTGAGGCGAGAAAACAGTTGTATTTTTAAAAATGAGCAGGAGTCGTTTACGTGGATATTTGTAAACAACGAGTTTGAAGGATCTAATCCTTAAAAATATAAAATTCATAACAGAAGGAGGTGTTTTTTTTAAAAAATGTATTGGATTTTTTTTTTTATAGTAGTAGCTGTGGTACTGTTTTAATTGTGTTGTTTTCTTGTGTAGAAATAGGCTGCAGCCCAAGTTAGCACTAAGAACTTACCTGCTCATTGTTCAGCCTGAGGTTCTCTAGGTGTCTGTTTGATGAGAAAAGGGACTTTGGACCCAAAACCAGCTTGTGTAGTGTCTCAGCCATTCATTCAAACGCTGCAACTCCATGTCCCACCTTCCCTCGTCTTTCCTCAGAACTATTTGTGGGGCGGTGCTTTTAACCAGGCTGGGAATGGGTGTTGGTCTGTTGGATTTTGTTTGTTTTTCTTACTGCTTCAAAAATACAGTAGGAGTGAAGAGTTTACAGGGTTTGCATCTCAAAAGCTGTCTGCACAGATAAAAGAGGTGATGTGGGATAGGACCTGGTGTCCTCCAACAATAACTTCTTAAATTGGCATGTTATTGAGAGATTTATGTCTTGGAGGTACGGTCCTGCTCAAGGTCATCAAACCTAGAAGAAAAGTGATCTGCAGTGAAAGCATAGCATTGACTTGGAGAGCTTAGTGTTTTCATCTTTTATGTAAATCACGACCTTTGATGGGGATCATTTTGTTCACTTCTGTTCGCTCTATTATTAGTTCGTAATAATAATTATATAAAACAAGTGTGTGCTTTTACACAATATTTGACTGATGTGTAGCATCATAATTTAAAGTAAAAAGGCATCTTCCTTGTTTTAATGATTTGTTAAACTAAGACTTTGAGAAAATTAATAGCGATAAAAGCAGAGAGAAAGTAATTTTTCTGTAATTTTTTTGACACGTTTTCTGTAGAAAATACAAAATTGCTCATGTAATAAAAAGTAACAATTTTCTTTACTGTGCTTGTCAGTATGATATCATAGTGTTAACTGAGCAAGCTCAAACTTGAGCATTTTTCATTACTTAAGAAATGGAATAAAAAGTTTGATTTGATCCTAGATGTCTATTATATAAGGAAGAAACAAACATGAGAATTGAGCTTCATTGTTAATTTTGTTATCTGAACTGTCATCCACACAGCAGCTTTGATAGATCTGTAACTTTCTTGTACTTTTTACCATAAAAATACTTACTTTCCTCATTATTGTCTAGCGGAGCAGTTAGACAGTAGCGTTGAGCTGGTCTGAGGATCCTTGGCAGGTAAAAGGGCAGTCCTGCTTCCCTTTCCGCCGCGTTGTCTTTTCTCCCATCCTTGGTTTCTCCTCTGTTGAATCTCGTGCTCATCTTCAAAGCTTCCTTCATAGGCTGATTCAACTTGTTAAACAAGTCAAAAACTCTTCCTTTTTTTTGCTGTGACCTTTTTCGGCTGATTTTGCAGCTTGGGTCAGTTCACCTGGAGGGGCACAGGACTGCAGGGAAGGTAGTGGGAATATATAGCCAGTATCAGGGGGTGAGTAGATGAGGGAAAAGCTGCTGCATCCGTTCAGCTGCAGTCAGGTGTCCATACACTTCTGTTGTCTCTGTCTATGCATTGGAAAGGTTTCTTTAATTTACTTTTTTTTTTTGTCTTTGGGAAATGTCATGTTCTTCATTGTTTGGTGCTAACAGGAGTGTTTTAGCATAACAGAAAATTGAGAAGGCTTTTGAATGTGGCTTTTCAGGAAACCCAGCAATCCCTTCAAATCATTAAGTCAGTTGCGAAAACATTTTTGTGTTGTTTGTTAATAAAATCTGTTAACTTTGGGATGGCTTTTTTTGCTTGTTTTTTAGGTTGTTTGATATTTGTGTCAAAATAATTCTTCCATTGAGAAAACTTTTGTAACCAAGAACCATGACAGCTGCAGAGAACGTGTGTTACACATTAATCAATGTTCCGATGGATTCAGAACCACCTTCTGAAATCAGCTTAAAAAATGACCTAGGCAAGTAATGGACAGTGATTTGAAGGATACTCCATCGTACCTGAATTATTCTCGCATTGTCTCATTGTGCCTTTCCTAGAATATTGTTTACATTTTATAAACTCAAACAAGTCAATTTGGTGTTTATTTTGTTTGGTTGTTTTTTTGAAATGTGTACATTCCTCTGTTTGCTGTGTTTTGAGAAACTTCATGATATTTATCTTGCATGTTTTGTTTTTTTTTTCCCCCCTCAGTCTGTGCAAAAATTTGAAATCCATTTCTGCCTATCTGTTTGAAGTAATACCTGTTTGGGCTCAGGCAGA